CTTACAGCTATCCAGAGCATAACTGGGGTTGTAGCTCAGTGGTACAGCATTGGCCGATCATGAGCAAGGCCTTGGGTTCAGTCCCTAGTGTTCATGGGCTTCCCACATTGGGCACAGATTCTCCAATGCAATCAACACAGCGCACAGTAAATTCAAAAGTATTGCGTGTTCCTAGAAACAGAGACTTCTCCAGCGAGGACCTGCAGTCCTACCAGAGTTGTGGCCACACCTCACAGCCTCACGTAGTCTAGTCCCAAACACAGAAAGTCTCCAAACACAGTCACAGCAGAGGTAAGGGCAGGGATGGGGTGGGGGTGGCTGTTCAATCCATAGCCGGAATCTCCTCATGGAAAACTGCAATCTTAACAGTCTGGCTCCATTCGTTAGGGTTTCTCACACCCACTACCCAGCACTATTAGAATTATTGACTATTCTGTCAGCAACAAGCACATAACACACCTATCAGCACTTGTTCTCTATGGCGCTGTTTTCAGTGTCTAGCTCAGCAGTTTGCCCAGCCCCTCAAGTGACACACAGTGCACCTTTCCCAAGCACGGGCTGGCTCATCAGTGCACATTCAATGCACACACAAGATTTGTCTGCACCCACCATTCTGAGGGCCTTCTCTGGGTCCTTTCTCTTACTCATGGACTGGCCTAATGATACCAGCTGTAATCCCAGCACTTGGAAGGTGGAGGCAGGAGGATTCCAAGTTCAAGTTCAGCCTCAGCTGCATAGCCAGTTTGCTGACAGCCGGGGATACATGAGAGCCTGTGTCAAACACACACACACACCAGGTGACACACACAAGGTGACAGGCGATGCCATCAGTAAAAACTGAAGAGGCTTCGCCATGTCTTCTGACTCCCCTTCAGTCTCGGACTACATATGAGGCTTCTGATGTATGTGCTTATACACATTCTTATGCACATTCTTAAAATGATAAGCAACTGGCTTTATGTTGGGGATTTCCAGGAAATAAGGACTCCCATGGTCTCTGAACCTGGGACCCTCTATACCTAGTTGCCAACTATACTGTAGGTCATGAAAACTGCACCCCCACAAGCTTGGTATAGTTATGAAGTCCTCCTTAAGTCAGTGTGGTGGGCTGGGACTGTAGCTTAGTTGCCAGAGCACTTGCCTAGCATGCTAAGGGCCCTGGACTTAGTCTTTAATACTACATATAAAAAAATAGGCATGATGCCAGGGAGTGGCGGCCCATACCTATGAACCCCGACTGCAGAGGCGGAGGCAGGCGGATATCTGTGACTTTGAGGCCAGCCTCCTCTATAGAGTGAGTTTCAGGACAGCCAGAGCTACACAGAGAAACCTTGTCTCGAAAAAAAAAACAAACTAAAACAACAAAGCAAAACAAAGCAAAGCAAAAATAACCACTATAGTGTGATGACCCACACTATAATCTCAGCACTTAGAGGCAGAGGCAGGAGAATTATAGATCTTGAGTTCAAGGCCCAGCCTAGCTACCTAACAGGACCCTGTCTCAAACAAACAAAAAGCCAGTATAGAGCCAACCCTGCGCCCTCTGGTGTAGCTCACTTTCAGGAGGAGGTCGTTTTCACTATTCTCAGTTCCTGGGCAGATGCTAGCATTCTAGTTGAAGTCCATCCTGGGTAATGCAGCTCCTTAGGATGGATTGAACAGAACTGGGCACCTATGGGATGGTACTGCCAGTCACCAAATAGGATGAGGCTCAGTGAGTGTGGTGGCTTTCCATTTCTTAGTCAAGGTCCCTGTTAAAGGGCAGGCTCAGAGGTCCACACACTCAGTCACCTTTTGGCGACCATCTTAGCTTAAGATGCTTTGGTCAAAAAATATTTTTACTTTCACACTTACAAGGCAAAAGTTCTTTACCATTACCTAAAATTGTTCCTTCCCCCCAAGGTAAAAACCTTTGCCTCATGGATGCACAAGATGTAAATGACTGTCACAGCTGTCTTTACATACACCAGTCACAATGCAAGGTTTGACAAACACTCCCTTTGCCCTTTGGAGTTACTGACAGTAGTGGCATTAACCAGGATATTAATTTTTAACAGGGCCCCAGACCTTCGCACAACTGGCTCCATGATGGAAGTGCCATTCAGGCTGTAAAACTCAGCATGTAGACAGCATCACCTGCCAAAAATAAAAACAAAAACCTAATCCATCAAAGTCTGTAGTTCTGGGAAAGTCTTTAAATGTACTAACTTTGCTTTTTGGCTTCTGTAGTTCTGTTTCTGGCTAACTGTTCTCATTAACTGAAATCTGTCAGCCTAGGCAATGATTTCTGTGTGTAAAAGCTCCCACTGAGAAAGGCCTGGGGCTACACTGGGATCCCAAATACCCAATGTAAGTGCCGGCTAGCTAATAAAGATTTTCTATTGGCTTAACCCCATGTCTGAGCAGTCTTCTCTGGTGAATACCCCACAACATTTCCTCTTCTGAGAACATACAATATGGGTGTGCCCCCCCCACACCAATACAGGGAATTTTGAGCATTCTAGGCAAATGTTCTACCTTTGAGCTACACTCCCAGACCCACAGTATAATTTAAACAATCTCTAGATTACCATACCTAAGACAATATGGAGAGTTAGAGGCTTTTCTGTAGTTTTGTTTTGAGACATGGTCTCACTCTGTAGTCCAGGCTCGTCTCAAACTTACTGCAATTCTGCCTCAGACTCTCAAATTCTGGGAATACAAATATGACTCACCATAACCAGCTGTAAACGCTGCTTAAAAATAAATAAATAAATAAATAAATAAATAAATAAATGAATAAATGAATAAAAAGAAAGAAAATTCAGTCTCGTTTTGGTGATGCACTCCTTCAATCCCAGCACCTAGGAGACAAAGGCAGGCATATCACTGGAATTTGAGGTCAGCCAGGGCTACATATGCAAACAAAAACAAAAACAAAAAACAAACCAAAAAAACCAAAAAAGTTCAAAGTTGGTTGAAGCCATGGAACATGTGCATGCAGAATCCTGCCCCCCACCTCTCCGAGGCACATGTGATCACCAGGCAAGCCTCTCCACACTCACACTCACTCGCACGATGTCCTGCCAACAATGCCTGCTCACCTCTAGATACCTCTAGATGGAATCCAAACTCAGATAAGGTCTTTTTTCCTTTCACTTGTCATTCATCACTAACCTCCATTTTCTTGCATTTCATCAAAGGTGTCTTTCTATTTTACTGAGTCTCGAGGAGGAAGAAGGATGGGGGACTGGCCAGCTGGCTGTCTCACCCCTAAGTCGGGGTTTTAGAGAACAGCCCTGGATGTGAGGAAGACAAGGTTTTTATGCAGCTCGGGGGTAGGGGTTTTCCAAAACAAGCTGGGTCACAGGAGCACAACAAAAGCATAACAAGTTAATCATAATGACCTCCGGAAACAAAGACATGATTGCCATTCTTGGAACAGGCAGTATAGAACCATTTGTAGTTAGGTTACAGACGGGACATAGCCTAATCCTCGAGAAACAGAGGCTTAATCATGAACAGGAACGGAACTAGTTTGTTTTTACTCTAAGATGGCGCTTAAGCCCAAGATGGAGGTAAGCTGGCTCTTCACTTACCCTTCGTTCTCAGTCCACTTCCCCTGCAGTATGGCCTGGTCCTCCACTTCTGAATATGCGTCTCTGCTATGATACCATAACCTGAGCTAGCATGTTCATGACTTCAGGTGTTACTGTTTTTTTTTTTTTTTTCGAGACAGGGTCAGGCTGTGTACCTCCGGCGGACCTCAAACTGAAGATCCTCCTGCCTCTGCCTCCCTAGTGCTTCGATTACAAGCATGCACCACCACAGCCAGCTTGTATTGCTACTATGAACGTTAACTTATGTGTAGTTCTCCTGTACAGACTGAGCACTGCTCCGAGCTGTAGTTCTTTGGGGCCTATCCAACACAGTGGCTTGACTGGGGACAGAACTGAAGGGCAGTGAAGGTAAATGAAAAAGGAGAATGCAACAGGCACTTTCCACTCAGTGTCCCGTCATGAAGTTGTGAGGGTCACACTCTCTGCTTGGGTGTTCCCACTTAAGCCCCAAGGTTGTTGGTTCCGTTCTTTTGGTAGATTGTTCAAATCGTCTCCTTACCTCTATTCTGCATGCTTTCCCATTTTGCTTTTTAAAAACTGCTTAATTATTGGGGTGTGGTGATGCAGGCGTACTTCTTGGAAGGTAAGGGCATTGAAATTACAATGTATAACCGGGTGATGATGGTACACGCCTTTAGTTCCAGAACTTGGGAGGCAGAGGCAGGAGGATCTTGGAGATCAAAACCAGGCTGGTCCACAGAGGGAATGAATTCCAGGATTGCCAGGGCTACACAAAGAAACCCTGTCTCAAGAAAGAAACCCTGTCTCAAATCTTGCCTGGATTACACACCTTTAATCCCAGCACTCAGGGCCCAGAGGCAGGCTGATCTCTGTGAGTTTGAGGCCAGCCTGATCTAAGTTCTAGGCTAGCCAGGGCTACATAGTGTGACACTGCTTTAAAACATTGTATCAGTTTGCCAGCATGAAGCCTGCAGATGCCAACACATACAGATATTAAGGTTACTATGATGAAACAAATGAATGTAGTCACCATCTGCAGTTACCTTTTTTGTTTGTTTTTGAAAATCATAATCATTCAGCACAAATGAAACATATAGGACTTGCATATTGTATACTGGGCCTCTAAATATTTTCACCCTATGTGTCCTTTAACTCACATCTCTTGACCAGTTTGCTCTAGATATGAATGTTTGAATTTTATAAAGATTCTATTTTATAAAGATCACGCAGTTAATTTTTTGTATCTAACTTGTTTCACTTAGCATAGCGTATCTCAGGCTCATCCACATGCGGCAAACGGTAAGATGTGGTTCTTTTTATACAGCTGATTCATACTCTATTGTGCATGTGCTACAGTTTCTCTTCCCACTCTTTCCCTGACAGCTTAATTTCATATCTTGGCTATTGTGGATCATGAGGCAATGAACAAGAGAAAGCAGATAGCTTTATGAAGGTGTTATTATTATTAATTTTCTTTCGGTGTATGTCAGAAGAAATATTGCTGGGTCGAGCAGTGCCTTTTAGTATCTTTGGAATCCTCTGTACTGCCTTCCATATGGCTGTAACAGTTTGAATTTATTCCTTCTTTTAAGAGGGTAAAAAGACAGTGTGGGAAGAGCATTAACAGGAGGAGCCCGGTACTTGGGAAGTGGAGGTAGGTGGATCAGGAGTTCAAGGTCATCTGTTACAGTTAGCTGGAGCCTTGAGGCCAGCCCGGGCTCCGTTGGCAACTGTCTGCTGGAACTGAAGCTTCCCAGTCAGAGACTGCATATCCGCTGAAGCATTGGAGCTTTCGACCCCACTTCCCCATCAATGACAGTCAGCAGTGGAAGAGCGCCGAAGTGTCAGAAGACTAGAGGATCAGATCCAAAAGAAGGGGACACAGACGCTTCGCCTGGCTTACGGGAACTGGCAAGTCTCAGCTGCCTTCCGGCACCAGAAAAGCTCTAGCACGTCCCAGATCGAGCTTCAGGCGCCCTTCCCCAACGCTGGAAAAACAACCACAAAAACAAAGCCTGACTAGCGCCGGAAGCCCGAAAGTTTGCCGTAGTCACCTGACCCGTTCCCTGGCTTCTGATTGGGCTTTGGAAGGACGTGCTCGGGTGATCCCGCCCCGGCAGCCCCACGGGGCGGGTCCAGGCGCCAGTGGCCACAGTATTGGTTGGCTCTTACAGGGCTCACCCAATCAGAACCCTCCTTCTTGCGGCGCGAACCGAGGCGCGCGGGGCGCCGGAGGGCCTTGTCAGCGCGCGGAGTTTGGATAGTGGTTCTGCCCCGCGCGGCGTGAGCTCGGGTGAGGTGAGTTCGGCGCCCCGGGGGCTGCCGCGGTTCCGCCCGGGAATCGGTTCCCCCCGGCCGGACCTGGAGGCCTCGGCCCTCCTCCCAGCCGTCCGCCCCAGTCCCTCCGAGCCTCGCAGGAGGAGAGACCCGGAGCCCCAGAAAAGGCCGCGTCGGGCGGCCGAGGCTCGAGCATCCTTAAGGATGCTTTTTATGTCGGCCGCACGCGAGAAGCGGCCTCCTCTGCCCCCCGGAGTTTGTGTACGGCCGCAGCGCCTGTTTCTGAGGCCTCGTGTACCCAAGGGCGTGTGGGCTTGCATTCCAGCGATAAGAGTTGAATAGCTTCGGAAGCGTCTCTCACGGCCGGCCGCAGGCTCTCTTTCAGCCTCCCTACCTGTCCTGAAGTCGCTGGATGGCCGGGACGAACCGGCCCCCCACCTGTCATCTCCCCGCGCCAGCACGGCGCTCCTGTCCCTGCCACTGCGAGGGCAGGGCTGGGAAAGAATGACCGAGAGATCATCCCCTTCAACGCTAGTTCCCAAGATAGGGAATCCATACCGCTTCGTTGGCTTGTTTGTTTTGGCCCTTGTGTAGCTGAGGATGACTTTGGACTCCTGATCTTTACTGTGTCAACCTCTCAAGTGCTGCAGTGACAGACTCGGGTCACTAACCCAGCTATTTTAAAAGTGTATGTATTTGGAAGTACCTTCAAAAGAAGATAGCACAGAATGTAACTTTTTTGTTGTTTTTGGTTTTTGTTTGTCTGGTTTTATTTTATTTATTTTTTATTTTCTTCGAGACAGGGTTTCTCTGGCTGTCCTGGACTGGCTCTGTAGACCAGGCTGGCCTCAGACTCACAGAGATCTGCCTGCCTGTGCCTCCTTAGTGCTGGGACTAAAGGTGTGTGCCTAGAATGTAATACCTTAAACTTGGTTGATGGGCACACACTATTTTCTGTACTTTTACTTTTGTCTTTTGTGGGGAATGGAGATATGAGTGTGTCCTTTGTTCATGCTTGTGCAGGGGTGTGTGTGTGTGTGAGAGAGAGAGAGAGCAGACCAGAGGTATTTTCTCAGTTGTTTTCTATCTTAGTGTTTGGCACAGTCTCACTGAACCTGGAACTGATTAAACTATCAAGCCTCCCAATGCTGCACTAGAGATGCACAGTACCACACCTGACTTTCTGAATGGGTTCTGGGGATCTGAAATCAGGTCCTCCCGTTTGTACTACAGGTGCTTTACTGACTGAGCCATCTTCCCAGGCCTTTTCTGGCTTACCAAGTCCGAAGAAATTGCAAAATAATCTCTACAATCTAGTGCCCCCCGAACTCCTGAGTGTCTTGCATACTTGTCAAAAGAGATCAGCTCCAGCCAGGAATGGTGGTTTGCACCTATCATCCCAACACTTTGAATAAGACAGGAGAATGGAGAGTTGAGAACGCTGTATAAAGACTACATCTCGAAAACAGAAACAAGCTGCCTGTGGCCCACAAGCCTATAATCCACACACGTGGAAGGTGGAGGCAGAAGGATCAGGAGGTGAAGGGCTTCCTCAGGTACATAGTGAATTTGAGGCCAGTCTAGACTATATGAGACCCTGCCTCTAAAACCCCAAACAAACATTAAAATGTTCAATACATTTATATTATTGTCTTTCTGTCACTTTAGTTATTTTCATTAATTTTGGGGGGTGGGGAGTATTGTTTTGAGACATGTTTTATCTGTGCAGCCCTAGCTATCCTGGAACTCACTCTAGACCAGGCTGGCCTCAAACTCAGAGGTCTGCCTACCTCTGCCTCTTGAGTGCTGAGACCAAGAGTGTGCCCCACCACTGCCTGACTCATTAGAATTTTTGAATAGTATTTCTTATTCATATGTTTATGGGTTTTTACCATGGTACATATGTCGGGGTCCGAGAACAGCCAGCAGTTCTCTCCCACCACGTGGGTTCTGGGGATTCGGCCTTGGCAGGCACTCTTACTGCCTAAGCCACCCCACTGGTCCTATTTTCATTTTTTAGAAGTTATTATCACATTTTAGTTACAAAATTAGCTAAATCGACTTTCTTAGGTAACCGTGGTTACAGTGCACTCATAGTTGAGTGGTTCAGATTTCTTCAGTTCAGTATTATTGTACGTACATTTATAGTCTAAATTTATATTATTCTTGTAGCATACCAGCACTCCCGCTTGTGAGCTATACCACCAGCTCTTGTTTGTTTAAGATTTATTTATTTTACGTATGTGAGTGCTCTGTCTGCGTGTACACCTGCATTCCAGAAGAGGGCATCACATCACACTATAGATGGTTGGGAGCCACCATGTGATTGCTGGGAATTGAACCCAGGCCCTCTGGAAGAGCAGTGCTCTTAACCTCTGAGCCATGTCTCCAGCCCCCGCTGCTCTTGGTTTTTGAGACCAAGTCTTGTTATATATAGTTTAGGCTGGCCATGAACTGGCTACCCTGGCTTCTGCCTCCTCAGTGCTGGGATTATACTTGGATGTCACCGTGACCAGCTCTTGTATGTTTTGTTAACTTTCTTTTTTTTTTTTTTTTTTTTTTTTTTTTTGGTGCTGAGACTTGAAGCTAGGCCTAGTGCACACCAAACAAGTGTTTTCTCACTGAGCTACACTCTGGAAGTTGATAATGTTCCTAAGATACATCTGAGAATGTAGAAAGCTAGAGAAATGGTTCCGTTGGTAAAGTACTTCACAAGCATGAAGACCGAAGTTCAGATTCCCAGAACCCACATAAAAAAGCCAGTTCCAGTGGCACAAACCTGTAGGCTCATCACAGAGATGAGACAGGAGCTTGCTGGCTAGCCAGTCTAGCCAAATTGGTGAGCTCCAGGTTCAGTGAGAAGACAATCTAATGTTGACTTCTACCCTCCACGGGAGCTCACATACCTGCACTTGTGCACACAACACACACACACACACACAGTTAAAGATATGTCTTAAAAATTACATTATTCACAAGTAGTCGTATAAATCACATCTCATAGTTTCTTACATTTGCTCCTGTATTTTGTGTGTGCTTTTCCTGCGTGTGTGTGCGCCACATGCATGATTGGTGCCCGCAGAGACCAGAAGAGGGTATTGGGTCTCCTGGAACTGGAGCTACGCTTGGTTGGGAGCCACCTTGTTGGGACTGGGAATCAAGACAAAAAGTTCTCTTTACCTCTGGGCCATCTCTCCAGCCCCCTTCTCATTTTTTTAAAGTTTAGTTTACATTTATGGGTGTTTTACGTGCATGCATGCTTGTGCGCCTCATGTGTGCTTGGTGTCCTTGGGGGTCAGAACAGGGCGTCAGATCCCTGGAACTGGAGTTACACATGGTTGTAGCTGCGGTGCTGGTGCTGGGGTAACCTGGGTACTGTGGAAGAGTAAAAAGTGCTCTTAACTGCCAAGTTACCTCTTTAGCCCCAATTTTTATACCTTAGAGATAAATTTATTAATAAGATATTGTGTTATGTGATTATACCTCTTCTTTTATTTTTATATTATTGTGATAAAACCTGACATGAAATCTATCCTCTGAATGGACTGGTTTTACTTTTGTTTTGGAGACAGGGCCTAAGCTAGTCTTGACCTTTATACGCTGTCTCAAATTTGTTTAGGTGAATAATATAATACAGGCAGAGTACTACACTGCAGATCTCCAGGCATCCTCATCTTTCACTCCTAAAGCTAATCAGGTGGAATTTGCTCATTTCGTTTTGTTGTTGTTGTTTTTAAAAGAAAAGATATTGAGTACCCTGTGAGGGTGCAATGGTCAAGGCAACAAAATAAGAGAAGCTTCTCCCAGCTCTTTGTTTTGAGACAAGGTCTTGCTCTATAGCCCAGGCTAGCTTATAACTTATGTGTGCCAGCAATCCTCCTGCCTCAGCCTCCTAAGCGTTGGGATTACAGGGATGTGCCACCATGTCCAGCTTTCATGGTACCTTTGTTACCTTGATTAATAAATCGCTTGGAGATATTAAAATTAATTTTCTAATTATATCCTAGAGACTTTATTATTTTGTCTTTTATACTTCGGTCATTTTGGTTTTTCTCTTTCATTTGGATAAGTTTTACAGGTTTTTAAACTTTAATGTGTGTGGTATGTATGTAGTACAATCAAGGTCTTATATGTCTTTGGTTGTCCTCAAACTTGCTGGGTAGTCAAGAATAACTGAACTTCTATCTTCCTGTTTCCGCTTTCCAAGTCCTGAGGTTGCTGCTGTGCACTCCATTCAGTGGTGGATTGAACACAGCTTTGTGCATGCTGGGCAAGTATCCTGCCAGCGGAGCTGCACCCCCTGTGCAGGTTTAAATACCTTCTGCCTGAGGACGCTCTAGGTCCCAGCGCCAGTTATCAAAATGACTGTTCTTACCTAGTGCTCAACAGTCCCATCATTCGAAATCACGTGTGGGTTTATGGGTGTTTTTTGAATCAGTTTCATTGTGTAGCTAAGGATTTTCTGTCTTTCTGTATCTTCCTTTCTCTACTAAAATATCAGGCACAGGGGCTGGATACAAGTGCTTGTTGTTCCACAAGCCTGACAACATGAGTTTGGGTTCCCAGACCCATGAAACCAGGTGCAGTAGTACCAGTGTCTGGAGCCCCAGAGCAGTGATGGGAGGCAGAGACAGGAGTCTGTGGCTGCTTGTAAGCCAGCTAGCCTAGCATACACAGTGGTGGGAAAACCTGTCTCAAGCAAGGTGGAAGGCTAGGACCAGTCCCTGAAGACTGTCCCCTAACCTCTGCACACATGCCACATTGGCACAGCCCAGTGTGCGCGCACACAGTATTAAACTCCACCATTAAGTTGCTCCAGGAAAAGAGCAGGGAGAGTCTGGATTGGGATGTTATTGCCATAGATCAGCTTGGGAAGAAATGGCATCTTGAGAATATTGCTTTCCTGTCATGAGTGCGGCTCATTTGTTTCTTTAATTTTTTTCCCCTTCTTTTCGAAAGGGTTTCTCTGTGTAGCCTTGGCTGTCCTGGACTTGCTTTATAGACTAGACTAGCCTCTAACTCACAGAGATCCATCTGCCTCTGCCTTCTGAATGCTGGGCTTACAGGTGTGCGCACTGCGCGCAGGTTGTTCTTTAAGTGTTAAAAATAACTTGGTAGTTTTCTGATTATATATGGTCATGGTTTGTCAGATATTTTTGGAGGGTACTTAAATGTTACTGTCACTGTAAATAAGTTTTCTGTTGTTTATTTTCTAGTTGTCCATCAGTGACGCATAAAAAAGAATATTTTGCATTGATGTCTTCTAGCAGTCCTTCATAAATAGCTGCTGTACCAAATTACTACAACTTGGATACTTAACAGGTAGTTTTATCTTACAGTTCAGTACTTCAGAAGTCTGAATGAGCTTATCTAGAATAAGACCTAAGGGTTTTTCAGAGTTTCATTTTTTTCTGCTGGTTCTAGGGAAAATACATTCATTGCCCTTGTCAGCTGCTTGTAGATGACCACCACATCCTTGGTTTGCAACTGCTTTTGTCATCAAAGCCAGTGACCTTGGGTGGAATCCTTCCCAGGTTGTCAGCTGTCTGGTCTGGATTTTTCTCTTCCACTTAAAGGACACTTGTGATTGCATTGGCCCTGCTTGCATAATTCAGGAAAGTCTTCTGTAGTTTCTTTCTTCCTTTCTCACCTTGATGTTTCACCTAAAGATCCTACTTAAAGCATCTGAATGCCTCATATGTTTTGCAAACTCTAAGACCAGGTTTCAAAATTAAGTCTTCAGTTTAGAAATGAGTTGGGGGCCAGATGTAGGGGGGGCGCTCCTTTACTCCTGGTACTTGGGAAGAAAAGGCAGGAAAGTGGCAGTGAATTGGAGATCAACCTGGTTGACATAGTGAGCTCTAGAGTAGCCAAGGCTTATTACACAGAGAAACCCTGTCCAGTCTGCCTACTCACTGTGCAGCTAAAGTGGGCCTCAAACTCAGCAGTTCTTCTGATTTAGCTGCCCAAGGCAGGAACCACCATACCCAGCACTTTTAGTTGTTTTGAGGCAGGATCTCTAAATCCCAAGTGGACCCTGAACTCTTTATATAGCTGAGGCTTGCCTTGAATTCCTGATCTACCTGCCTCAATACCCCTCCAACTCCAGTTATTTCATATTGTGTTGGAGGCTTAAGACAGCAAAATCAGGTAAGAGAAATTATTCAGATGCACAAGGTTTGGAAAATTAAAAAAAAAAAAAAAAGTATACTGCCCTTACCTGGAGATGATGTGGAATTTATCTAGAACACATAAATAATGACCTAAATAACTAAAATGAAAAAGAAGTCAGGCTGGCCTGATGGCACATGCCTGTGATGTGACTGCCCGAGAATTGGATTCAAGGTCATCCTCAGCTACAGAGTGAATTTGAGGCCCAGCTGGACCATGTGAGACTGTTTCCAAAACAGCACTTGCAGAGGAGAGAGCGTTTAGTAGGATAACTGTACAGTTAACAAGCACAACAAATTGTTTAACAAAAACGCCTATGTAAGGAAGGGGATGGCCTTATTTATAGTAAAGCCAAAAGACGAAAATTGTTAGGAATTTTAAAACATAAATGAAGGAATCTTTAAAACTCTGCTATTACAAAAATCTTTTTAATCAAATGCAAAGTACTTTTTTTCAGGATAGAATAACCTAACACCCTTAAAACATTAGATTTACATAAGTTAACACACAAATATAATCGAGTCTCAGTAAAGAGAGAAATGAGGCTTTCTGGCGCTACACATGTTGATTCTAAAGTTCACACAGAACAAACAGAAATGAAACCAGGTATGGTGCCATACACCTGTAGTTCCAGCACCTAAATCCATAACTGGCAGAGGAAGAAAGTAGTAAAGATCACAGTAGAGACCAATGAGAAATAGAAAATAAAGCAATCAAGAAACAGACAAAATCAAGAATTGTTTTTTTTTTTTTTTTTTGAAAAGATGTGGAGGTCAGAGTAATACTTGAAGAAATCGTTCCTTCCACCATGTGGGTTATGAGAATCTAAGGTCATCAGACTTGGTGACAAGTACACTTAATCACTGAGCCATCTTCATAGGCCCCTGAAAAGATGTTTTTAAAGTTGACAGTCTCTTAGATGAACTAGGAAAGTGTCTTGGTTACATTTCTATTGCAGTGGCAAAATACCATGACCAAGGCTTATTAAAGAAGTCATTTAATTTGGAGGTTCATGGTTTGAGAAGTGCATTACCAGCATGGCGCGAAGCATGGCAGCAGGCAGGCAGGCTTGGTGCTAGAGCAGTAGCTGAGAGCTTTCGTCTGATCTCAGATTGGAGGCAGAGAGAGATTATGTGAGCTGGAATGATGTATTAGAGCCCACCCGCAGTGACACCACTCCAGCAAGGCCACACCTCTTCCAACAAGGCCATACCTCAATTTTTCTCATGGTTTTACTGAAAGAATTTTATTAACTACAAGAATTCAAATATATGAGCCTTTGGGGGCCATTGTTATTCAAACCTCTAGAAAGAAAAGAGATTCAGAAAACTAAGGAATAAGGGAGGGACTGTATAACTGACTATAGAAATAAAAGGATTTTTTTCCTGGTCTGGCAGTACAGGCCTCTAACTTCAGCTATACTGGAGATTGATGCAAAAAAAATTGTGGATTCAGGGCCAGTCTGGGCTTCAGAGTAAGTTTAAGATAAACCTGAATAGCTTGATAAGACCTGTCTCAAGATGGAAAGTGAAAAGGCTTGTTGGATGTTGTAGCTGATGTTTGCTACTTTGTGGGTTCCTTTTTTTTCTCTTCCACCCTCTCCCACCCTTATTAACTCCCTAATACTAGATAGGAGAGAAAAAAAGATAGAGGGGAAGGGGTCAATTAGGGGCATTAAGTTTCTTGGGGCAAGTTTCACCTTGGCTGTCAGGATATCTAATTTCTTCTCATTTCTTTGCATGCAACTACTTGGGCAACAGCACCCAGCCAACAACAGGCATCCTGCCTCTCGGGGCCCCTAGCATTTATATATCCTCTGAAAAGTTTCCAGAATTTCAAAGTCACATACTATCTGCACTGGAAAAATTATGCCCTTGATAGAGCACAAGGCAAATCATAGTCACCTGCTGTGAAGCAGCCTGTTACCCCATACCTTGGACTAAAACAAAAACATATTCCCATAACATTTCTGTGTTTTTTAAAGGAACCAAAATTATAAAAACTACAGGCTGTAGTTTAGTGGCAATATACTTAACTGGTGTATGCAATACCCTAGGTTTTGTCCCCCACCAAAAGCTGGGACACAGGGGAATAAAATGCTTTTTATAAAAATGCTATGAACAATTGTACAATGACAACTGTGATTTCAGTGTGTCCCTAAGAAGTTCATATGGGGGCTGGAGAGATGGTTTAGTGGTTAAGAGCATTGACTTCCCCTCCAGTACCGAGATTCAGTTCTCAGCACCCACATGATGGCTTACACTAACCTGTAACTCCAGTTCCAGACAATCTGCTGCCCTTTTCTGGCTTCTTTGGGCACCAAGCATGCACATGGTGCACAGGCATACATGCAGGCAAAGTGCTCATATGCTGAAGAGATGGCTCAGAGGTTAAGAGCACTGGCTGCTCTTCCAGAGGACCTGGGTTCAATTCCCAGCACCCACAGGGCAGCTCACAACTGTCTCTTAACTCAGCTCTAGGGGATTCAACATCCATGCTTACATGAAGGTAAAACACCAGTGCACATAAAATAAAAATAAATATTTCATTTCAAAAATCTTTTCTAAAATGACAGCTCAGGTGTAGGTACTGTAATTTCTCGTTTCTCGTGTGAGTGTTGAGAGGTTGGACCAAGTGTCAGGGTTATTGCAAGAGAGACTTCATGACTTATGAAGGTCTTTCTCATGGGAATGTGTCTGCCCATTTTTTCTTTTCTGCATGAGCTTATTTCCATCTTGAGGGGCCCACCAGAAATTGAACAGATGCTGGAGTATGCCTTTGACCTCCTGCTTTTCATAATTATAAACTCAAACCAACCTTTCCTTTGTAAGTTACCTGGTTTTAGGTATTCTGCCACAACAACAGAAAGTCTTAACACAGTTGATAATATAGATCAAATACTAAGATCTAGAAATGTACAGTTACTGGATCAGGAAAAAATGGAAACTTTGAACAGATTTAGAATTAGTAAGTAGATTGAATCCTTAATCGGGAGTGTTCTTAGACACCAAGAAAATCTCAGGACCAGATGGCTGCTGGTGATTTGTACTGTAAGTTTGAAGAATTATCCCGAGGTCCAGCCGATCAGATTCCTTTCCACAGGAGAGCCTGATGTGCAGTGCTCCAAGGCTGCTGCCACTTCTTGGTAATGCGCGCAGCCTGCTGCTGCATGTGTTGCCCTAAGGGACCCTGGAGATGTATTTTGTGGATATCAGTGTGGATCTAACTGTCTCTAACCTAGGTTTCAGACATGTAGGTAGGGTGCCTTTGGGCACAGTGGCCAGGTTTCACGTGAGCCAGGTCTTCATGTCCGTCTTAACCTAGTTCCCGAATAAGGAACATTTGATGGAGACCTTGTGTGAGCCAAGTTCAAGGTGTTCCAAAAGATCCACATCTACCAAGTTTGATGCAGATTAATTTGAAGATATGGTAGCTGAGCAGTGGCTTACATTTGGTGACTTCGGGGTCAGAAATGTCCCCAGTGGTGGTAGCTTGGACAAGTGGTCTCCGCTGCGTTGAGTACACACCCTACCAAACCATATCCAATAGTTAATCTCACATCCAGTTAAAAAAAAAAACACTAAAATCATCTCCAAACTGTACCAACAAATCATATATATGTTAAGAGTAAACACAGTATATGTAAAGAACTATTGCTCAGCAAATTAGGAATACCTGGATTGAAAGGGCACCGTAGGTTGAGAATCTAGTTTAGTGCTTGCACTCTTTGAAAGGCCCTGGGATTGCTTTTATTCCAAAACAAAGCATAACATGGGCAAAGGATTCAAATGGACATTTTTCCAGAGAGGATACACAGTGGCTAGTAAACACATGAAAAAAAGTGCTTGTTTTCATAACTTGTTAGAGAAATGCAAATAAAACCAGGAGAAATAATCTCACATCCATTAGGGTGGTTGTTATATTACCAAAAAAAAAAAAAAAGAAAGAAAGAAAGAAAAGCCAGAAAGTAGCAAGTGTTGCTAAGGGTGCTGAAAATTTAGAAGAAGCCTTGTTCATTATTGGTAGCAGGGTAAAAATAGCATCATAGAGGACAACAGTATGATAGTTCCTCAAATGATAAAAAGAATTACCATATGCTCCAGTAAATCCATTTCTGGGAAATAGCCAAGACAATTGAAACGAAGACCTCAGATGTATTGGTTAATTAATTTTATTTAAAAACTTTTGAAATTGTTTTCTGATACACTGTATTTTTATTCACATGAATGGATTGTTTCTCAGCCCTCTGAAGAGGGCACCAGATCCCAATGAGATGGTTGTGAGCCAGCATGTGGTTGCTGGGAATTTAACTCAGAACCTCTGGAAGAGCAGACAGTGCTGCTAACCTCTGAGCCATCTCTCCAGCCTGAGAATACATGAAAGGTTGGATAGATATACTTCAGAACTTCTTGTTTTATCTAGCAATAGTATAGGCCAATGACCAATAGGCCATGTCTGCAAAGGACCAGATAGTGGATGTTGTAGGCTTTACACAGTGGTGGGTTCAGAGGTTATTCTCCTGTGCTGTACAGAAGCAACCGTAGTAGTATGTGAACATGCAAAACAGCACTTATCAAACAGGCCTCAGTGGAGACTGGGCCTGAGCCAAAGCGTACCCACTGTTCTTCCGGAGAACGGTGCTGACTTGTCCTCGTAACGTTTCTTAGAGAATGATTCCTATCTCTATGTTACGTTTCTCTCATTATGTCTTATACCTTATATGTTGGATGCTAGAGTTGTCTTTTTTGAGGACAAGTAAGTGCTATAACATTTAAATTTACCATATGGGAAGGTGCTATTGGGCTTAAACTTAGAGCTTCTTGCTTGTGTCTCCAGCCCTGATCTGATTATGTTTCTAAAGCCTAGTTGCAGCTCTGGTATTATTATATACTATCTTTATCTTATGCTTTTGCCAACTGAATTTTATTTTGGATGAGTTTTTGAAAATTTTTTTAATTAAAATAGAATTATATCATTTTCTCCCTTCCTTTTCCTCTTTTCAGTTCCTCAAATAGATAAGCTCTTTTTAAAATTATTATAGTCTGTATGAACAATTTTATTACATTTTGTTGTGTGTGTATACTCACAAATACACACGTGGAAGTGACAGAACAACTTGCAGGAACTGTTTCTCCTTCTACGTGTGGTTCCCGGGGATTACACTAAGTCCTTAGGCTTGTCTGAAATGCCTTTATCTGCTGGGCAATCTCACCTGGCCCTGAATTTTAGAGGCATTTTTGTCAAATTTTGTAAAATATTTAGTATTTTAATTAGAATTTTGTTAACACATATACTCATTTACAAGGAACTGCTATCTAGACTTTTCATTTAAGAGCATGAAATGTTTCCCTTAATTTTTTGTTTTTCTAGTAGTATTTGGTCATTTTCTTCATATCACGTGTATGTCTTTTGTTGGGTTAATTGCTGGTTGTTTAATGCTCTTCACTGCTTTTGCAACCGAATGCCTTTTTAAAGCCGTATTTTCTAGTTAGTTATTACTACTGCATGTTGATGCATTTGACTTTTGAGAATTTCCATTATCTGTTATTTTTCCGAAGTTTTAATTACGTAGTGATATGATTGATTTTCCTGGATTGTGTTAGTGTGTAATCAAGTTGTCGTCATATAAGAATAAAATAATCCCAACCGTTCTATTATTTCCCTTTTTTGCCAGGACAAAAATGGCCAGTATGAGAGTGGAAATGAGAGAACAGTCTTGATTTTGCCTTTATTTTTAATAGATTCACTGTTAGTTTAATAGATTCATTATATCAGTTTTAGATTTTTAAATACTTCTGGTTTGGTGGTTTGTTTTTTAATATTTACTTGTTTATTTTGTGTGTGTGAACATTTGCCTGCATGTTTGTGCACTGTTGGTGCCTGATGTCTGCAGAGGCCAGAAGGGCCTGTTGGATACCCTGGAATTGGAGTAATAGAGCCAGCTTGTGGGTGTTGAGAACCAAACTGGGTCCTCTGCAAGAGCAGCAAGTGCTTGTAGCTTTTTTTTTTTAATTAAATTTTTATTTTTTTTACATTAATTACATTTTATTTGCTTTGCATCCCAGCTATAGCCCACTCCCTCATTCCCTCCCATTCCCATCCTCCCTCCCTCATCTCCTCCCATGCCCCTCTCTAAGTCCACTGAGAGGGGAGGTCCTCCTCCCCTCCCATCTGACCCTAGTTTATCAGGTCTCATCAGGACTGGCTGCAATGTCCTCCTCTGTGGCCTGGCAAGGCTGCTCCTCCATAGCAGCTTTATTCGTAATAGTCAGAACCTGGAAACAACCCAGATGTCGCTCTACGGAGGAATGGATACAGAAATTGTGGTACATTTACACAGTGGAACACTACTCAGCAATTAAAAACAAGGAAATCATGAAATTTGCAGGCAAATGGTGGGATCCAGAAAAGATCATCCTGAGTAGGTATCCCAGGAGCAGAAAGACACACACGGTATATACTCGCTTATAAGTGGATACTAGACCCATAATATAGCATAAACATACTAAACTCTGTACACCTAAAGAAGCTGAACAAGAAGGAGGACCTGGGGTCAGATGTTCAGCCCTCACGTAGAAAGACAAATGGGATGGACATGGCTTGTAACTTCTAAGTCAGCTCTGCAGCTGCAATAATGGTTTGAGTTTAGGGCTGGAGAAGTAGCTCAGTGGTTGAGAGCAAATAGTGTTCTTGCAGAGTTTAGTCCCTAGCGCTCATACTGGGTGGCTCACAACTGCCTGTAACTCCAGCTCCAGGGAACTACAAGACTCTGGCATCCATGGGCATCTTGCACTTACCGAACACAGACACGTGCACATGCGTGTGCATACACATATTTATGTATATGCACATATATATATATTTATATATATAATATATATAATATATATACATAATATATATATTACTATACATATATAAATTAATTTAAAATAAAATTTTAATTTATTAAAATAATTTAAAGTAATTTAAAATAAAATAATGATTTGAGGGTTTTGTTTTATTTTGTTTTTTGTGTTTCAAGACAGGGTCTCACTAGGTAGCCCTGGCTTCCTGGACTCACTTTGTAGACCAGGATGGCCTTGAACTCACAGAGATCTGCTGCATCTGCCTGCCAGAGTGCTGGGATTACAGACATGCACCACTGCACCCAGCTAATGGTTTGAATTTTATTACACATCGTTTTAAAAAGACATTGATGTAAGTAAAGTGTGAACCAAGAAATTCAAGGAGCTGAGTGTAATGGTTACTACTATAATCCCTGTACGCAGGAGCTAGAGTCAGGAGAATTGTGAGTTTTAAGCTGTCCTGAGCTACATAGTAAGACCCTGTCTGAAAAAGAAAAACCAAACAGTGGGCTGGAGAGATGGCTCAGTGGTCAAGAGTACTGACTGCTCATACAGAGGACTTGGTTTTAATTCCCACCGCTTATTGGCTCCCAACCATCTGCAGCTATGTTTCCAGGAGCTCCAACGTCCTCTCTGCCCTCCGTGGGCACCATCCAGGCAACTGGTGCACGTACATGCGGACAAAACATTCATAACATTTTAAAAATCTAATAAAAATGATAACAAACCAGAAAAGAATAGCAAAACTAACCCAACTGGGAAAGGGCGAGGAAGCCTCTTGTGTGCTGGGAATGTTGTACCCCTTGATTTGGATGTTGTTCAGTGTAAAGTATATAGATAAAACTGTTTGACCCACCCCCCCATAGTCACGATTTTTGTATAACATTGCATAAATGCTATATCTTGGTACATACAAAAATCTTACTTTAGTTATCTGGTCAAACTTGTTTTTATTAATTAAACTATTTGGATGATAGATTAGTAGTTTTACTTAATTTGTTCCAGCTTTATATTTCTGGGATAAGTTATAGTTGATCACAATTTTAATCCTCTTCAGATATCATTCTTATATTCTTTAACATTTTTATTCTCATTTAATACATATTGGTTGAGCTGGGCATAGTGGTGGGCGCACCCTTTTAATCCTAGCACTAATGGTTAAAAAACTAATAATAGCTTGTATTTGTCTGTTATTTACAATTTATTGAGAAAATAGCCAATCAAATAATTATAAAGTGAGTGTTAAATTGTAATTATAAGTATTCCAATTGAAATCTATTTGTTCTTATAGCATTATGGGGTAACTTTATTGAACTCAGTATTGTTTATTGTTTGTACTCCTCTTTTTGCACT